ATATTTTTATTAATTACTTATAAAAGTTTACCTAAAACATTTATACTCAGTTCCTTTGAATTGTAAATATTCTCTTAACATATAAATCTTTTAATTGTTACAGAAATTTCAGATGCAGAATTTTTATAATCTATTAATATTTTTTTCACTAAAAAATATTTTGAAGAAAATGGAAAGACAACTCTTGTAGATGGATGCATGCACTTTATTCTACAAGCACAGAAAACAATGTGATATTCTGATTTAAAAAGCAATGCTTTATTATGTTTTCTGATGTGAATTAGATAGGTATGATAGTAAATATTATTTTCATATATACCTCATATTTTTAATTTTATTGTGAGATAAAAAAAATAATTGATCTTTCTATTTACCATGTCAAATTTTCTTCATATCATGATCAGACATATTCATTTCTGAAAAAGTAAGCAACACTTCAAACTTCAAACTATTTTCCATTTGAATCTACTGCTGATGTTGATGAAAATCAATTTTGGGAATTTTTTTAAAAAATTGGTGAAATTTGGAGCAGAGGGATATTTCACCTTAAGATATATTGTATTAGCAGGAAAGGTATTGATCAGAGAATTTGCAGAATGTTGAATTAAAAAAACAACATTGTTGATATCCTTGTATCATAAACTTAGTTGTCAGTAGGCTGTCTAATTTTAGAAATCCATTGCACATGGAACATACTCGAGCAATGTCATGTGAATACCCGGTAGTAGTTGAATGTCAAGCCTCAAAGGATGTCTCAAACTGAAACATTGATCCAACAGCACATAACAAAGCATGAAGTTATGCTAAACAAATTCAAAATTAACCTGTTTAATACTGAAAAAATAAATTTGATGATGAAACTTTCATGCCATAATAGATTTGCAAAACTGGAATATATGTTTAAACATAATTCCATATTACTGTAAACATGAAAATGCTTAAATTGAATGGGTGGAGTTTGAAAAAAAAAATATCAACAAAAAACAAAGTTTCAAAAAGAGACACCACACTGAACAACAAAGCATCACACTTTACAATGTTTGAACTTTTGCAAAAATAGCCCCCATGAAAATGCTTTCCTAAAATGAAATTGCATTAAAATACCCACATTGACAGTAAGATATACAGTTTTGAAAAAATTCCTTATTTTTAAGTTATTTTATAAACAAAATTAGCCCCTTGCTATCCTATCATAACTGTTAACATTTATATAATGAAAAATCCCTTCTAGGCTTTCATTATCCTCAAAACCCCTTCAAAACTACCTAAAAATGCATCCCCTAGTCAATTTGGGCTGTTTTCAACTTACTAGGATTTAGGATGATTTTGTCATACAATAATGCAACAACTTACTAGTGCACATCAAGATATGACATACCATATAGCATGTGTATCTAGTAAATAGATTGTACAAAATGTACCACATGAAGTCAATAAATGTTCTCAATAGTCTTTTTTAAAGGTGCTTAGACACATATTTGAACTTGATATTTTCTCAAATTTTTTGTATAATATCACGACTTATATATTGCAATAGCATTTCACACAAAAATAATATTAAAAACTTATTTTTTCTGGAAATTATTGGAACTACGAATTCAGGGATGCGTTTGATTAACACATCTTCACACTTACACAAACTTTAACTTTATCCTTAATATTTAAGAAAAGAAGTGATTTTGTTATGTATTAATGAAAAATATTACATCTATAATACAGAAAATTCAGAGTAGAAATGTTTGAAAGCAAAACCAACTCACCAGTATTGTCAGTCCGTGCTCTGTGATGTGTACAGAGTTTAACAAATTGAACACACCCGTGAAACGTAAACTGTTTTTGTAAACAGGGCGCGAGCTCTGTTATTGTTAATGTTTACGATTCACCGGGTGTGTTCAATTGTTAAACTCTGCACACACCAATGAGCACGGACTTACAATACTGTGAGTGGGTTTTGCTTTCGAACATTTCTACTCTGAATTTTCTGGGTTATAGTTTTAATATTTTTCATTAATACACAAAATTGCCACTTTTCTTAAGTTTAGGAATAAAATTAAAATATGTGAAAGCGCAAGGATGTGTCAATCCAACACGTCTAGAAATTCGAAGTTTTAATAACTTCAAGATGAAATAAGATTTTTATCATATTTAAGTATGAAATGCTATAGCAACATATAAGTCATGAAATTATACAGAAAATTTGAGAAAATATGAACTTTAAATCTGTGTCCAAGCACCTTTAAGTTCAGGTTAGAGCATTGAGTTACATGTGGATTGATAAACTCGATTACCAGGTAACAACATTACTGCAAAATTGAATTCTCTTCTATCCAAACATGTACATGTATCAGGCTATCTGATCTAACTGAATGCATGGTTTAAAATTATGAAAAATTACATGCAATGGTTTTCACCATAACTGAGATTCAAATCTATCCATTCATCTGTAAACTTGTTTGGCAAACCTTTATTTGACTAGCATATATATCTGCCACTGTTCAATCAACACTGGCATCATCTGCAGCTGTCATCTTTTTCATTGGACAGGGAAGTCTGATTGTCCAAGAATTTATACCTTTTATTTCATACTGACACAGCTAGACATATATTGTTGACTTATTGCCTCCTTAGGACACCATGGTTACGGGAAGATGAGAACCAATCTGTATCCTTTTTATCATTACAAGGCTACAAATCTAGCTTCTCTATATAGGATATTAAAAAATTTGCCATAGCAGAATAGGAATAATTCCCTTGTCATCATTACTAATTTCATTGTGCCTGCATCAACAACAGTGCCTGAATTAATAAGAGTCATAGACAAATTATCTTCATCTTTTATATCCACACTTACTCATACCACTGCAAGAGCTAGTCGATTCATATTTATTGGTATTTTATAATCCTGTGACTTATGTTTGAAAACTTTTTTCCAAGGAATCATCAGAAGTTTAATACCATCTTTCGGTTACTGCATGTGGATCTTGAATTTTTTTATGATAATCATACTGCAAAACTTGAGGATGATTTATCATTTTATTTTCCTCAATGCGTGTTGTCAACATTAACTTTCATCAAGTTTACATCCATACTTACGTACGTATCATAGATATATATCTCGGATAAACTGAAAAATGTATGAAATCATGAGTGAAAAATTTAACCAGATCGAGTTGGCTGACATTTCTGATGAGGTTGTACACTGTCGGATTATTTTGGATGATTTTTCTTAAGAAATGTTGATCACCTCAGTTTCTTTGTTATGCTTTTTAAGGATAACAGATTGATGACTTTTATATTTTAAAAGTTGGCTTCCAAATTGATTGTGGTTTTGATGGTACATGTTTTGACTTTGCATGGGCCTCTTTATCATCTGCATACATGCATGCATGCAACATATTTGTTGTTTGTCCAGTATAAAAGGTCTGATGTCTATTGATTGATGGAACAGACTGATATATGTGTATATGCTTTAAAAATTGTTGTCTGCATTTTCAAGTTTACAGAATGGCATATGCATTGTAATCTGAAAACAGAACTAACTTTCAATGTCAGAGAATATTCAAAATATGATTGCACTAGCTGACTTGTTTAACAATATAAGACAACTTCTTACCATTCAATGCATGTGTCTCCATATCTACCATAGTTTTGTAAACCTTAAAGTTGTGGATGCTTAATTAAAGCTTTTCATTGCAATAAATTGGTCTAAAATTAGAGGAATTGAGATTGGACTGAGCAATATTTACAAGAAGGTAATGTACACTTATTTACTATTGAATTAATGTTGGCATCATAAAGTTATATTGTAATAAGGTAAATGAATTCAGTTTTGAATTCTTATTTTCTTCCTTAATGAAAGAAAGGATGGGATGGTGTAATTTATCATTTATTCTCCCAACACAAGATAATCTAAATATGCAAAATTGCAACACCTATTACTTTGTTTACCCAAATTTTAATTACTAGAAACACTGCTATTGCAAGCATATAGCATATATCATCCCTAACTGACCATCTGTTTCCATGGCAATGTCACATGCACAGTTCAGTGATTATTATTACTGTGAAGTTTAAATAGTCATATTTAGACATAAATAAAAATTGAAATAAGCCGGCCTTTTTTGGTTTTTCTTTTCTTTTTTTTTTATCTCTCAAGTTAATTTCCCAATATTCTCCAGAACCTGACACTTCAGGACAATAATAAACTTAAGACTTTTTTAAGTAATCTGTTAACAAATGTTTCAATGAAGGTTTGTATCATCTTCAAAGACAGAGATATTTAAAAAAAAAATTGTGTGGTATAGTGTCAATTAAAATTCTTTTTTTAATGGAAATTTAACATCTTTGATATTTAGTTCAAATTTAACTGCTATGTTCACATAATTCCAGGTAAGTTATGTATGAATCCTTTAGGGTGAGATGCAAATTTAATTTTTTTTTTTTTAGCTCTACTTTTCTCTACAATTTACATTTAAAATATACAGTCAAACTTCGTTATCTCGAACTCGAAGGGACCGAGAAAATACTTCGCGATAACCAAGGATTCAAGATATCCAGGGTAAAATACTTAAGGAATAAGCAGATGGGACTTCAATATGATATCGACATATCTGAGGTATTCGAGATATCTGTGTTCGAGATACGGAAGTTCAACTGTAGTTAAAATTATGCTATAAGGTTCTTATTAGGACTCGACAAGCTTAAGGATTTGTGAGTGCTCTATTTTAAACACTGTCTGTCTGTCCATCTGTTCATTCACAAATTTTCTGTTTTCCTAATCCTAAATGTTAGTATTATTATTGCATCCTTAGATGTATATCCCACTGCTGGGTCCCTGCTGACTGGTCAGTTTTCTAGTGAATAATTTTTTTTTTTTAATTTCCATGTCACATATTGGATTGCAGATTTGGAGTAAAATAAGCATTTACCCTAAATTATTTGTGTTGAATCTTTTTTCTTGTTTTCTATCTAAAATGTTCTCTTCTATGTTTTCTATTTAGGATGTAAAGATTCCAAGGGGTAAGATTTTTCTTTTTGTTTTAAACTTAACAATAAATCTTTTTTACAATTATATATATACAGTTTGCCTTTCATTTTTATCATTAGAAATTGCCATTGCTGTTGCCTTTATTTTTTTATTATTTGTTGAAAGATGAAAAATGTTGATGAAAATGCAGTTCCCTTTTACAATGCTTTAACTCAGCTGAGCCTTGATCTGCAAAATACCAGAAGACAGCTTTATGCAACACTGTTCTTTGAAACAAAGAATTCAAGGTTTAATATATACCCAAATTTTTCATGCAGATTTAGTTTGGATAATTGCTTTAGAAAATGCAGAGTCAAACCTGATGTTGATAAAAAGTAAGTGAATGGTAGTCATTCTGTAGAAATTTATTAATATATTTTTATCATTCCTTTTGAGATACATATACAAAATACAATAATAACTAGTTTTTCTGCTTTTCAATTTGAACAAATTAAGTGAAACCTATTTATTTTTTCATTTCCAAATCATTCTGCTATGGTTTTTGCATTTAGCTTATTACAAGGTTTAATTTAAATAGTTCAGTAATAATTCCATACTTTAACATTTTATATCTACATATTTCTTAACAATACTTCTCAACTGTTATAATGATTTTTTTTTCAATATCCATGACATGAGTTAGGATTTCTTCAGTCTTTTTTATCCCCTTGCAACCAAGTAGAGGGGATATTGTAATATGCTTGTGAGTGTGAGTGTTACTGAACATTGTCATTTGCTGGTTTGTAAGTGAATTGAATGTGCCCTCTTGCAAAGGGTTGCTCTGCTTTACAGACTCATATACCATTGTATGGTCACCTGAGTAACTCAGATGGCCTATTGCTATCTGTTTTCTTTGTGCATTAATGTGAACTTTTTCATTGTTTCCTCTGGAAATTTCATCCAATTTTGACATGTAATATCAATGGGTGAAGGGAAACAGAAATTTTGAATTTATGGTCCTAATTGCCTCCTTTGGGATTGAGGGGAGGGACTAAAACCATCAAAATTAATGCAAATGGTTTCAATATCTTCCACTTTATTCTTGGACACCTTTTTGTTTTGATCGAATAGATGTTTTGGTTTCACACAGCAAAAACTCAAGACACTGTCATTCTATTTCTATAAAATTGGGGATACCCATCTCTTATCTGCAATGTCTCTTACAAGAATCTTCATTACTTAGTGCCATTCTGCACCTTAATGTTACATTTTGATGGGAGACAGATATTTGGAATTGCAAAACAAGAACACTGACATTCTTTGTATATCATTTGATGTAAAAATCTGTTATCTGCTTATATCATTGAATAAAATAATAATTATTAAGATGTTCAAAGAATCTTTATTATATAATGCCATTGTGTACCTCCAGTATTTTGTTTTGATCAGACAGATGTGAGGGTTTCCATAGACAAAAAAATAAGACACTGCAATTCATTCTATGACATTATTTGGAGAGAGGGATACCTGGTATCTATCTCTTATCTGCAACTCCTCTCTGATGTCACTGAATAAATTTGATATACTTTCAGATTCTTTATACCCCCCAGAAGCAATATAATTAAAGGGGGATATCACCTTGTCTGTCTGTCTAAGTGTCTATTTAAGCAATCTTGTACAGGCTTTAACTTTGTTACGGAGAATTTTAGGAAGTTCATACTAAGTACAAAGAATGTGTCATGACCTTGACCCAATGTCATTCTGGCAAGTTCAAGGGGAGAAAAAGTGCAAATTTTGTGTCCTGTCTATAGCTTTCTCTTGGAGAAACATTGGAGGGTCATTCTTCAAATAGAGATTGCTTGTGCTGGTTTGCTCTGATCTTTACCCAAGTTCATTTGATCAAGTTCAAAGTCACTTTTAGAATAATGAGAATAATGTTAAATTCTGTTCCTGACCATATCCTGCAATGGGGAACATTAGAGGCTGATATCAGAAATATTACCTGTGACTTAAGAATATGTATTGACCTTAACTCAAAGTCATTTCAGCAAGTTTGAGGCAACTGGCAGAAAAAGTGCATTATTCATGTTTTTGGCTATTACTCTGTTATGGAGAATCTTTGGAAGTGCACACTTGGTACAAGAATTGTTTAAGGCCAGAGGGTGTGCTTTGACCTTGACCGAAGCTCATTTCAGAAAGTTGAAAGTCACTAACAGAAAAACTTTTAATCTACAACTCTCAAATGGAGTGTTATTGCAAGTTAATGCTTAACATAAAAATTGCTTATATGTAAATTGAGTCATGATCTGACGTAAGGTCATTTTTGCAAGTTCAAATCACTGGAAGAAATATTCATATTCAGTCTTTAACATTTTAGCCGAAAATGTTTGAAGATCATAATTTACAAAAATATTACTTGTGTCCTGAAAGTGTGTCATGGTGAAGTCATACTGACAAGTTCAAGGTAACTGGCCCCAGAAAATATATGTCCAGTTCATAATTCCCTTACAGATAAGTATTGGTAGTTTAAGTGTAAAACAGAGATTATTTTTTAACTGAAGGTATGTCAAAATGTTGACCCAAGGTCATTATAACAAATTCAATGTCACTGAAAAAATGGGTAATATACGAGGGGCATTTGAAAAGTTCTGAGAACTGCTTGCTAAAATATTAACCATTTCACGGAAGTTAATAAGTTTGATACCATTGAAAAGAGCTGGAAAATTTGCACTTATATTAATGTCATTGTCTTACATTTATGACGTAATAACTCCAAAAATGACGTCAGAATCTCAAATGTTTAGCATACTAAAAAGTTGCGTTTTTTGTCCACATGAGAACATCGAAAAAGTGCTGTCAAAGTCTTCTTTGAAAAGATATTTCAAAGAAAATTTTCATGAAGGTAGAGTAAGACTGTAAACATGGTACAGCAAATCAGCAATTCCATATTTTATTTTTTTGCTTGGTTAATAAGCACAGTAATGTTATCTTAGGCGTTCATAAAGATTTTTATTTATATGATATAGCTGGATTTTCGGTCTATTATATAGCTCTCCACTATATTAAATAAAAGATATTCTCTATAAAACTGAAGTGTAACAATGCAGTTTTTCACAAATGTATCTTGAGTATCAGGACTCTTACCATTTACGAATAAGACGTACAAAAGTCTTCCCCCGGACTTGTTTCTGGGCGTATATTTTCATATTATTTCAACTTCGGTGATCCAAAATTCACTATTGCTTTTGACTTTCAATTCAAAAAATTAAATCTGAGTTTCATTGCCATGTACAATCTTATTTATTTTCCTTAATTTAAAATTTTCGAACATATCGAGTTACGGTGGGGTCAGAACTACACCAGTGCCATTTTGGTTTTTACAAGAAAATATAGGACACCTTTCGTTTAACCTCTTTTGAGTTTTAATCGTTATCGCAAAATTGGTTAAAACACTTGACGAATTAATGCCAGCAAACTCCGTAACACCGTCCACTATTCTCCTGTGATTGTCAACTTTGTGATTTTCTCACAGCAATGTCTTTTTCACCCAATATTTTGCGCAAGATTCAATAATAACATGCTATGTTTGATACACTCTTAAACCATCTCAGAACTATAGGAGCTCCTGAAGATAACTTCATATAATAGACTGTAGTCTATGTAAACATTTTTCCAACTGGTAGTTGTGTCTGTTAGCTTGCATCCGAGTAATGAACAAAAGTTGACTTTAAAATTCTACTTTACTAAAATTGTGTCTCTTGTTACGTCATTTTTATGGTCAGTATGCTAGACATTCGAGATTCTGACGTCATTTTCGGAGTTATTACGTAATAAAAATTACAAAGTGACTTCAAAATGTGCCTATATTTTTGTGTTCTGTCCAATGATATCAAATTCAGTAATATATCCGTTAAATGGTTAACATTTTATCAAATAGTTCTCAGAACTTTTCAAATGCCCCTCGTATATGTTAGGTCCATATACTTCCTGATGGAGAAACATTGGAGGTCCATAACTCACTCAAAGATTACTTGTAATAATAGGATGTTTAATCAAGGTCATTTTAGCAAGGTCAAGATTACACCTGGAAAATTGTATGTGGGCAGTTTTTAAAAAAAATAAAGGAAGTGATGGTATATTTTCATCAGCTCGCTCATTGTACTTCTTATTATAACAAAGTGCCATTGTGCACTCTTTTTCTTTTTCTTTTTTTTTTTTTTGCTTTAATCCCAACTCATGAAAGTCTGATCACTTTTTCTCCTTTGTCTGTCAAGTGTACATCCATCCATCTGTAACATTGTTGACTTCTTCTTAAGAACCAATGGGCCAATTTCAACCAAGCTTACCATAAAGCATCTTTGGATAAAAGGGAATTAAATTTATTTCAATTAAGGGCCCCATCCTGTTTTTAGGGGAGATAATTAAGAATAACTGAAATTTTGTAATTGGAAATTTTAAAACTCTCCTGCGCATGAACCAATGGGCCTGAAAAGTTGAAACTTACTTGAATCCTTCATAAGGCCATTCCAAGATTTTTCTATGTTTTGCATCTGCGTGCACTTTGTTTTTTAAACCCCCCATATCAGAAAAAACAAAAAATCAGTAGTCCTAATATTGGTTATTCTGGTTGAAATCTTTGAATTCTGTCAATTTCTCTAGTATTTATTTACAATATACCATGTTAAGAATATTTTAAGCATTTTATACCTTTATTTTGCGAAAGAAGAGACCTTTCTACGAGAAAAATAGATCAATGAAATCAAATCCTTTGAATGTCATCATTTTTATGACTATAAAGTCTGTATTTTAATTATTGGCTTGTGTGGTTTTTGATGCGCATCGCTATCAGCATTGTAGCCTCATTGCTGTCGACCCCCAATTCTTTCAATTATGCGGTGACAAAGGACTCCACAATATTGATTCTAAATACGCAACTGAAAATAGTGCAAATGTATATTGACGAGTTGGTGATATACATTGTCTTTTTTAAATATCAAATGACATAAACTCTCACATATACCGAGGATTATGTTTTTTTATACGTTGAAAGCAAGAGAGAAAACAAAAAAGAAATAAACCCCCAAAAAGGGAGAAAACAACAACAAACAAACGTGCGCTACGCAGAGTAAGATCTATTTGCATCACAACAGCTCGTACTTTAAATCATTAGGCCTTGTAAAGCGACATTGCTTGTACAAATATTTGAGAAAAATATACAATAATTTTATTTTTCAAAACATCACTAACAATAGGAACAAGACGGTTGTTTTTTTTTTTTTATAGAAATAGAAGGGATACTATTATTTTTTCACTCGATGAAACGAATAGTAAGATGTCCAACTGAATAAATGTTTGCAACTAGCACCACCTTTCGGGGGAAAAATCCACGAGGGTG